CCCCTCCCTCCAACCTTTCCTAGGCCGACCCCTACCCCGCCTTCCTTCCACTACAGACTGATACACTCTTGAAGTCACTCTGTTTCGCTTCATTCTCTCTACATGTCCAAACCACCTCAACAACCCTTCCTCAGCCCTCTGGACAACAGTTTTGGTAATCCTGCAACTCCTCCTAACTTCCAAACTACGAATTCTCTGCATTATATTCACACCACACATTGCCCTCAGACATGACATCTCCACTGCCTCCAGCCTTCTCCTCGCTGCAACATTCATCACCCATGCTTCACACTCATATAAGAGCGTTGGTAAAACTATACTCTCATACATTCCCCTCTTTGCCTCCAAGGACAAAGTTCTTTGTCTCCACAGACTCTTAAGTGCACCACTCACCCTTTTCCCCTCATTAATTCTATGATTCACTTCATCTTTCATAGACCCATCCGCTGACACGTCCACTCCCAAATATCTGAATACATTCACCTCCTCCATACTCTCTCCCTCCAATCTGATATCCAATCTTTCATCACCTAATCTTTTTGTTATCCTCATTACCTTACTCTTTCCTGTATTCACTTTTAATTTTCTTCTTTTGCACACCCTACCAAATTCATCCACCAATCTCTGCAGCTTCTCTTCAGAATCTCCCAAGAGCACAGTGTCATCATCCTGGTATACTGAGTATACCAGGAAAAGCGTATGATAGGGTCATAATTGAAAGAATTAGAAGTAAGACTGAATGTACGATTGCGGATGAGCAAGGAGGTTTTAGAGTGGGTGAGGGATGTGTAGATCAAGTGTTTACACTGAAGCATATATGTAAACAGTATTTAGATAAAGGTAGGGAAGTTTTTATTGCATTTATGGATTTAGAAAAGGCATATGATAGAGTGGCTAGGGGAGCAATGTGGCAGATGTTGCAAGTATATGGAATAGGTGGTAAGTTACTAAATGCTGTAAAGAGTTTTTATGAGGAAAGTGAGGCTCAGGTTAGGGTGTGTAGAAGAGAGGGAGACTACTTCCCGGTAAAAGTAGGTCTTAGACAGGGATGTGTAATGTCACCATGGTTGTTTAATATATTTATAGATGGGGTTGTAAAAGAAGTAAATGCTAGGGTGTTCGGGAGAGGGGTGGGATTAAATTATGGGGAATCAAATACAAAATGGGAACTGACACAGTTACTTTTTGCTGATGATACTGTGCTTATGGGAGATTCTAAAGAAAAATTGCAAAGGTTAGTGGATGAGTTTGGGAGTGTGTGTAAAGGTAATAAGTTGAAAGTGAACATAGAAAAGGGTAAGGTGATGAGCGTATCAAATGATTTAGATAAAGAAAAACTGAATATCAAATTGGGGGGGAGGAGTATGGAAGAAGTGAATGTTTTCAGATACTTGGGAGTTGACGTGTCGGTGGATGGATTTATGAAGGAAGAGGTTAATCATAGAACTGAGGGAAAAAAGATGAGTGGTGCGGTGAGGTATATGTGGAGTCAAAAAAAACGTTATCTATGGAGGCAAAGAAGGGAATGCATGAAAGTGTAGTAGTACCAACACTCTTATATGGGTGTGAAGCTTGGGTTGTGAATGCAGCAGCGAGGAGGCGGTTGGAGGCAGTGGAGATGTCCTGTCTAAGAGATATGTGCGGTGTAAATATTATGCAGAAAATTCGGAGTGTGGAAATTAGGAGGTGTGGAGTTAATAAAAGTATTAGTCAGAGGGCTGAAGAGGGGTTGTTGAGGTGGTTTGGTCATTTAGAGAGAATGGATCAAAGTAGAATGACATGGAGAGCATTTAAATCTGTAGGAGAAGGAAGGCAGGGTAGGGGTTGTCCTCGAAAAGGTTGGAAGGAAGGGGTAAGGGAGGTTTTGTGGGCGAGGGGCTTGGACTTCCAGCAGGCGTGCGTGAGCGTGTTCGATGGGAGTGAATGGAGACGAATGGTATTTGGGACCTGACGATCTGTTGGAGTGTGAGCAGGGTAATATTTAGGGATGGGATTTCAGGGAAACCAGTTATTTTTATATAGCCGGACTTGAATCCTGGAAATGGGAAGTACAATGCCTGCACTCTAAAGGAAGGGTTTGGGATATTAGCAGTTTGGAGGGATATGTTGTGTATCTTTATACGTATATGCTTCTAAACTGTCGTGTTCTGAGCACCTCTGCAAAAACAGTGATTATGTATGAGCGAGGTGAAAGTGTTGAATGATGATGAAAGTATTTTCTTTCTTTTTTGGGGTCACCCTGCCTCAGTGGGAGATGGCCGACTTGTTCAAAGAAAAAAATATGTACATAATACGTACATAATAATAGCTCAGAATGCTGCTGCTAGTTGGCAGTACACATGTTTACATCTCTGTCAAAGCAGTTCTCTCATGGTTTGCTTACAATTTTGACAGTCATTTAGCCAAATTTCACTTTTCTAACTATGGGTCCTAAGAAAGTAAGTGCAAAGGGCAGTGCTGAGAAGAAAAAGACAACAATTTCCATGGAATTAACGCATGAAATCATAAATAAACATAAGCAAGGTGCACGAGTTGTGGATTTAGCCAGACAATACCAGCACAGTACATCTACTATATGTACGATACTAAAGCAGCAGGAGTCGATAAAGGCTATAGCGCCAGCCAAGGGCGTTACAATAACATGGACCTTTTGTCCATGAAAAAATGGAGAAGCAGCTGCTGACGTGGTTGAGAGAGAAGCAGCTCGCAGGATATACATATCAGTTATGTTCAGTGATTAAACAAAAATTGTATCAGTTATGTTCAGTGTGTAAGTACAGTGGACCCCCGCATAACGATTTTAATCCATGCAAGAGGGCTCATTGGTATGCGAAATAATCGGTATGCGAATGAATTTTCCCCATAAGAAATAATGGAAATCAAATTAATCCATGCAAGACACCCAAAAGTACGAAAAAATTTTTTTTACCACATGAAATATACATTTTCCTACACACAAAGAGAAGGATACATGCACAATAGTAGAGTAGTACATGCACAGTATATATTGTGCATGTACTAGTCTACTAAATGAAGAATAAATGACACTTACCTTTATTGAAGATGCAGCAATGACTGATGAGACACTGTGTCCTGGGAGTGCCTTTTCCTCCTGAGTACTGTAGGTCCTGTTTGGTATTTTCTTCCAGAACAGGCCTTATCACACTGTGTATGCCACTATGATTCTTAAATCTCTCAAACCAACCTTCGCTGGCTTTAAATTCACCAATATGAGCACTAGTTCCAGGCATTTTTCCCTGTTCACCTGGGTGTTAGTCGACTGGTGTGGGTTGCATCCTGGGAGACAAGATTAAGGACCCCAATGGAAATAAGTTAGACAGTCTTCGATGACACTGACTTTTTTGGGTTATCCTGGGTGGCAAATCCTCTGGGGTTAATTGTTTCTTGGTATTCTCAATAAGCCACACCAACAACGGTGCTACAGCAGCAGCAGCAGCTGACGGTGGTACAGCAGCAACAGACGATGCTACAGCAGCAGCAGACGATGCTACAGCAGCAGCAGCAGCAGACGATGCTACAGCAGCAGCAGCAGCAGACGATGCTACAGCAGCAGCAGCAGCAGACGATGCTACAGCAGCAGCAGCAGCAGACGATGCTACAGCAGCAGCAGCAGCAGACGATGCTACAGCAGCAGCAGCAGCAGACGATGCTACAGCAGCAGCAGCAGCAGACGATGCTACAGCAGCAGCAGCAGCAGCAGACGATGCTACAGCAGCAGCAGACGATGCTATAGCAGCAGCAGCAGCAGCTGACAGTGCTACAGCAGCAGCAGACGATGCTACAGCAGCAGCAGACGATGCTACAGCAGCAGCAGACGATGCTACAGCAGCAGCAGCAGCTGACAGTGCAGCAGCAGCAGCAGCTGACAGTGCAGCAGCAGCAGCAGCAGCTGTACTACCAATAGTAGCGATGGTTGATTGGGGTTTATTATACAACCTGGCCAGCTCGGAGACACGCACTCCACTTTCATACTAATCAATGATCTTTTTCTTCATCTCTATTGTAATTCTCACCCTTATTGCTGTAGGGTTGGCACTAGAAGCTTTCCTGGGGCCCATGGTCACTTATTTTCCAGAAAAAGCACAGAAAACACTGTAATAATACGAAATATTCCGATTGTATGCTTGGATGTTACCGCGGAGGCTGGCTGGTAAACAATGCCACTGGCGGCACATGTGAGGCTGGCTGAGCGGTATGCGAGGCAAAATTTTTGCGATTAAAGCAAGCGGTATGCGGATTAATCGTTATGTGATGCCAACGGTATGCGGGGGTCCACTGTACATGTACACTTTATATAAACATTCTATTATTTCTTTACATTCTGTAGTGTATTATGATTTACTGTGTGTTTATATACAATATTTTCAATGTTTTCCTTAGAAAACTAGTGATCTACTGCAGTTAGCCTCAAAAATACTCCATTTTCTCTTGCACTAAGAGCATGGGAAGATACTATATAGTCAAATTGGACACGAAATGGCAGATGCTTCTGCCACTGCCACCACATTATGGCCTATTTTATTCATTCTAGAGTATATATCATGTTTCTGTGTTAATTATATTGTTTATTATGTCATATTAGATGAATTGTGATAGATAAACAAGCTGTACAGTTGATAATAGCGTCATGTTCAAGTATTTTTTCTTGTCTCTCCAGAGCGCAGGAACGAATTAATGGCTTTTCAATTAATTTAAATGAGGAAAATCAATTTGATATACGAGTAAATTGAGTTACGAGCTAGCTCCTGGAATGGATTAAACTTGTAAGTCAAGGTTCCACTGTCCATGGAATTTAATAGCTATCAAAAATCTGAAAATATCAATGTATTAGTTACCATAGTAATGAGGGAGATATTTTCCAACAGATAAGCTTGCCAAAACTTGAATTCCTGGTGTCCTACTTCTGCCTGGCTGTAAAAACAAATGAACATCATAATAAAAACTTATCAACACAAATACAAGTGCGTTTTTACACTGACCTTATCCAGCTCGGTATAACGAGTGCCAACTATATACAATTGTAAGATGAGCTGAAAGGCAGACTCCAGAGTGGCTTCCATCACGTTAGTTATGGCAACTCTCATTTGTGCTACATGCTTCAGATCGTAGTATTTACGAATTTTCATATCTCGCATGTGGTGCCGGTAAGTCTTGGTGTTACCGTGTGTCGGGAAACTATTGTATGATTTTGAATCCACCTGCGAGTAAGAATGATAATGACAATAACGAAAATGATTATAAAACATAGAGAATTAAGAACAAATTTAATTACATGAGTTTTTCTTTTTTTTACTAACATATCAGCCATTTCCCACCAAGGTAGGGTGGCCCAATAAAGAAAAACTTTCACCATCATTCACTCCATCACTGTCTTCCCAGAGGCGCACTTAAACTACAGTGTAAGCACACCTGTGTTCGCATACTCTGACTTCTAGTAACCATGAAGTTTCAACTGATTCAGATGATTCTACTGCCAGTCTTGGCAGTAGAATCATCTATTTTTTTTTTTAACAAGTCGGCCATCTCCCACCGAGGCAGGGTGATCTAAAAAGAAAATACTTTCATCATCATTCAACACTTTCACCTCACTCATGCATAATCACTGTCTGCAGAGGCGCTCAGATACAACAGTTTAGAAGTACAGTGGACCCTCAAATTTAGTAGTCCCTTTTCTGTATGCAAAACTATTTCTCACGGGAAATATTAACAAAAAATACATTTTATAGAGAATAACAATAGTTTTGCATACAGAAAAGGGACTACTAAATTCAAGGGTCCACTTTACCTCCAAACTGTCAATATCCCAAACCCCTCCTATAAAGTGCAGGCATTGTACTTCCCATTTCCAGAACTCAAGTCCGGCTAACCGGTTTCCCTAAATCCCTTCACATTATCGTTATAATCAGAAAGAAGCACTAAACCACAAGGGATATACAGCACAGCAGGGCAGGGAAGAATGCAGGGGTAATGGGTAGTAAGAAGGAAAAGGATGATTATTAGGGTATGAAGTGTAGAGGGGCAGTGGATAGTGCAGGGGTAGTGGGTAGCTAGAGATTAAGATGGAAAGGGCTGAGAAGTGTGTCAGAGACATCATCATCATCATCATCAAAGTTTGTGCAGTAAATCAGTTGCTGTCAAAAAGGCAATGAGAGTGTCCGGATTAAAGGAGGGTCCGTCAGCAAGAAGGGAAGGTAAAGAAAGGGCAGCAGAGCGGAGACGACGTTGGAGGTAAATTCTTTGTGCTCGTTGATAGAGTGGGCAGTCCAACAGAATGTGGCTAACAGATAATGGAACTTGACAATTCTCACAGAGAGGAACAGGACGCCTCTCCATGAGATACCAATGAGTAAGACGAGTGTGGCCGATGTGAAGACGGGAGAGAGTAGTCTCCTAACCTAGATACTGATGACAAGAAGATGGCCAGAAACCTATATTTGGCTTAATAGAATGAGGTTTCTTATGGAGCAGATCAGACCAACGTTGTTGCCAACGGGTGTGAAGATGGGTAGCAATTACAGCAAAATAGTCCGTGAATGGAACACCTCTATATGAAACTGGGAGGTCATGTACTGCTGACTGTGCAGCAGTGTCTGCTTGTTCATTGCCCTGTATGTCAACATGACCAGGGATCCAGCAAAAAACTCTCTCTGTGTTTGCGAGAGATACAGCGTAACCAAAGTTGGATATGAAGAACTAAGGGTGAGGTGTATAAAATTTCCGGCATCAGAAGACTCAGAACCATCGGTGTACACTGTGATAGCATGAGAATGAGAGTGGAAGTGTTCAAGAAAAAGAGAGCGGAAAGCTACCACAGGTAGTTGGGCTTTCGCACATGGCAGTGGGAAAGAACAGACACGAACAGCCGGAACTTCCCAAGGGGGCAGGGAAAAGTGAGAGGCTACATGAACATAGAGAGGTGGTAACTGAGGAGAGGACAAGAACAAATGTAGGTGGAGAGAAAAGGGACGAAGTAAACAGGGGCGATGAACAAATAAAGAACGTTTACTAACATCAGTGACTATCCTATATATGGAAGGATTGTAGAGGTCATGGGATTGAACAAAATAGTGAAGGCAATGAGCATCACGGCAATCAGACAAGGATGGAAAATCTGCCTCTGTATAGAGGCTCTCAACAGGGGACGAACGAAAGGCACCAAGGCACAGGCGGAGACTTTGGCGATGAATAGGATCTAACTTTTTAGAGTTGCAGGAGAAGCCGCAGAATAGATCTGGTCACCATAATCTAGCTTGGACAAGACTAGGGTGGAATGCAAACAGAGGAGAGTGTGACGATCTACTCCCCATGAATGATGTGCAAGAACCTTAAGGAGATTTAACTGATGAAGGCGAGTTGTCTTTAATGAAGAAATGTGAGGTTTCCATATCAGCCAGCGGTCAAAGAGCAGGCCCAGAAACCTGACCATATCACGTCGGAATGCGTGAACCTGTAAGTACAAGGGAGTATCCAGTATAAGCGGGCGTCTAGTGAATCGGGTTTTCGTACTGGAAAATTTAAAGCCATGAGATGTGGTCCAATGGGTGACTTGGTCTATCATTACCTGAAGGGAGGCCGCTACTAGTCGACAGTCAGCGCCCAAGTAAGCTACAGCGAAGTCATCAACATAAAGTGATGACCAAATATGCGAAGGAAGACTGGAAGGCAGGTCATTTATAGCTAAGAGAAAAAGAGTAGTACTGAGGACACAACCTTGTGGATCTCCTTGGGCTTGTACAAAGTCCGAGGAAAGCGAGGTGCCAATACGGACCCAAAAATGTCTATCGGACAAGAAAGCAGCAACAAAGTTTGGTAGGTTATCATGGAGGCCTTAGGAGTGGGCTTGGGCTAGAATGTTATGCCTCCAAGTGGTGTCATATGTCTTCTCTAGATCGAAAAAAATCGCTAGGACAGAGTGGTTGTTAACAAAGGCATTTCGAGTATGTGTCGAAGCAGAGCAAGGAGTCTAAAGTAGAGTGGCCTTTGCGAAAGCCATATTGGAGAGGGGAAAGGCTATTGTGTCTCTAAGAACCACATCAGACATCTATTCACCTATTGTTTCATCACCTTGCGGACCACACTGGTCAGGGCAATGGAACGATAGTGAGAGGTGTCAAGCCCTGGGGCACCAGGTTTGTGAAACGGTAGTACAGTAGCTGATTTCCAGTTTTGTGAGAGAACCCCTTGCTCCCAAATTAGATTGAAAAGGCATAAAAGAGCAGGAAGGGCCGTAGAATGAAGATGGTGTAGCATACTGATGTGGATATCGTCAGGTCCCGGTGCCGATGGCCAGCACATGGAAAGCGTGGACTCTAATTCTAGAAGAGTAGAAGGTACGTTATACAGCTCTAATCAATCAGAGGAGAAATCTAAGGGCAAGTGCTCCTTGGTAGGTTTAGATGCAAGAAATGAGGGACAGAAGTGAAGCCCTCGGGAGATACGGACAAGATAGTTCCCAATTTCTGTGGCAACTTCTAAAGGGTCTGCGACAACACCTCCAGCAACCCGCAAAACGGGAGCTGGGTCCGGAGCGTACTTACCACACAATTTCTGCACCTTTCTCCAAATCGTGCACATATGGGAAGATGAGGTAATAGTAGACACGTAGTCTCGCCAACAAGTGCTCTTGGCATCACATATAACGCAGCGAGCAACGGCCCTTGCCCAATTAAAATCCAACACACTCTCTGCGGTACGGTTAAATCGATAATGGCCCCATGCAGCACATTTTAACCCTTTCAGGGTCCAAGGCCCAAATCTGGAGTCACGCACCAGTGTCCAAGAATTTTCAAAAAAAAAATTTGTTATTTTTTCTTATGAAATCGTAGAGAATCTTTTTGTGAAGGTAATAAAACAAAAAGTACGAAATTTGGTGGAAAATTGACGAAATTATGCTCTCGCGAATTTTGATGTGTCAGCGATATTTACGAATCGGCGATTTTGCCGACTTTGACTCCCATTTTAGGCCAATTACATTATTCCAATCAACCAAATTCTTAGCTATTTCACTAGTATTACTTCTATTCTATCGATTGAGCACAAGAAATCGCCAAGTCAACTGTTTCAACTACAAAATAAAGTGATCGGAAATTGTTAATTTGGCCAATTTAACACAAAGTTCAAAATATTCCAATTTCAAAATAGGGTCCAGAATAAACAATGTAGGCATTCCTGGCACTAAACTAACATTTCCTCTGTTCATTAGTCATGTTTTGAGGCTTTACAAATAAATTCCATTTTGATTTTTTATTCACATAATGAATTTTTATTCACACCAAAAAATAGAAGATTTACTGCTATGCAATACTGTAATAATTGTATAAATATCATCACCATATTTGTGAATGTATATTAGACCCACCAGCTGACGTGTATTAGACGTGTGAGGTCGTTTGTTTACTCTTGAATATCGGCAAAAATTTAACATTTCCGCTACTTTGAGCTCAGTTTCAAGCCATTTCCAGTGCTAAAACCAATCAAAATCATCTCTATTTCTGTAATATGTCTTCCATTCTATCAAATGAGACCAAGAAATCGCAAATACAACTATAAAAAACATACGAAAAAACACTGCAAAGTTGCTGTTTTAATAAAAAAATCATGATTTCAGTTTTTTTCTCTCATTATACACAGTGTGCTGCAGGATCTGTTTTATGTGGTGCACACATACCACATAGATGTATTCTCTCATATCTAGGCCCAAATGTACCACTCACAGTTTATCAGAGTGAGCTGAGCTCATGGCGTAGATCTACGGTTTGGACACTCACCATAAAGCCGTAGATCTACGGGACGGACCCTGAAAGGGTTAAATGCACTGCATGGGCGCATGTAGGCGACCACCAAGGTATGCATGTCATAGAATGCCTACCTGAGGTTTGGGGGATAGAACAAATCACCACAGTCAAGACCAATGATGAAAACTGGTGCGCCAGTTCATCAACAGATGACAAAAGGGGTTCCTAGCAACAGGTGGTAACAAAGGAGTATAATTCCCAATCTGCTCAAGCAAATTGCCAACGAGGGTTACAAAATGGATGGATATATGTAGCAGAAGTAAGGAGGATAAGAAAGTGATCACTATCATGTAAATCTGGAAGAACAGACCACATGAAATCAAGTGCAATGGGCAAGGAACAGATAGAAAGATCAATGCAGGAGAGAGACTGAGTGCGCAAGTCAAAATGGGTAGGAGCACCTG